TTAACGTTGTGTGTAATGTAACGCCTAGTATTCTAATTACGACGATTAAAAGAACTGGAATAGTAATATTCAGTGTGGACAATTATTCTACATGTTTGATGAAATTCTCGTTCCTTTACCTTATTGCTGTATTATACAGAGTGTTCAAGAAAAAGGGTCCGAGACTTTAGGTGCTTATAGTACTCACCGAGTGGAGTAAAAAATCGATCCTTTCGATGAAAAATGCACAAGTTTATTTTCCACATTTGTTACAGATGCTCGATACGTGTTCCTTCTATTTCAATACAAAACTGACATTTACGGATCATAGATTAAATTTCCTATTGCCTGTTGTCATATAACCTTGAGTTAACCAATTTTTCTGTTCACGTTCAATATATCGCGAACAGGCTCACGGTATCGAAAGCTCGTGAACATAAAAGTTAGTTTCACATCGAAAACTTTGGTTGTAGAACCTATGTTGATTAGACATTTACCGGTACTCTCGGTGAGCACTACAAGTCCCTGAAGTCTTAGACCTTTTTCTTCGAACATCCTGTACATTATACATCCTGTTATTATTACTACTCGTAGACCCAGAAAATTGTTCGTCCTCGAAGCTGTAACTGGCGGTATGTTCATGCAAATACCGACAGATGTTTATGGAGTAATTTCTGATAACAGAAATTGATTCGAAGCTCGTTACCGTAATGAATGATCTCGTTAGGTGAAGGGAACAATTGATGACCGTTGTAAATTTTATTCTAGTCACTACCTCGTTATGATTTATTCAGTTCTATCTGAAATAGATACATCCAGCACCGCTAAGTCGTAAGAAACGAAGAATTACTATTCGTATGTTTCAATGAATTACCATTCGTGATTATACATTGAACTTGATCCCACTAATGGATTCGTGAGCATGCTCAGTCATATGCGTTGTATGTGTGCGCGCGCGCTCATCGGGAGGTGCGTCCATGGTATCGATTATCGATTTGGATGTAAATAGACGCGAATGATAAATTTATCAGCGGTAGAGACCATCAGCGGCACGAGAATCGCCTTCCGTCTTCCGTGCTCCTAATTTTGCCCCGACAGACTCCTGCCACGCTGTCAAAGGAAAAGGGCGGTCGGGAGCAGCGACAAGGATCCGGCTGCGCGTAAACAGTTCGTGTTTTCGACAGCGACATATACAGAGACATCGTCGCGAATGCGTATCGACCAAACGCTAGCCGATATATTCGTCGTTATTTTCCTTGACGCGACGTCACCACACGGCCGAACGTTATTGCCTGTTTCGTGCGATTGTTTCTTTAACAGCGCTCCTTGAATCTTTTTATAAAGCAATCGATATACCGAGTGTATCGCCAACCGAACAGAGGTCCTTGAAAGGGAACTACAACGAGCATGATTCGTGGGTTTCTTGGAGGAAAGGTGAAGTATTATTCTTTGGAAGGCTACGATGGAACGATGATCTAATTATGTATTATAATTGTACTTGCTGCAGTTTTTGTAAAAAGAAAAACGGGTCACTTTGTGAGTGAAATTGTAGTATGTTCTATGGTAATTTATGTATGTATGATTTCACTTTTTCTGATATGACACAAGATTGTGTTTTAAAGGCTTTAGCCAGTAGAATTGAAAACGTCATTCAATTCCAAGAAACTTTCGCGGTTTTGGATTTCAGAGAGTTGAATGCTGACGCCATCTATCGGGAAGAGTGGTTGTATATGGGAAGATATTGGATCGGTAGAGTATGTTTGGATCACAGATAAGGTAGAGAATAGACTTATCATCTTATGGGACTTCGTGTCTTATCACAAACGAGATATAATAATAGACCTAACATGCAATGTAATTTTCTGTCCCATGCTTCGAGGGCGTCAGAAGCCCCCTTACCATTTTAGTGTCAATACCCGACGTGACCGATAAAGCATGGATTCTGAGTATTATTAGCACAAATGAAGTGTTGTATATTCCATTCATATTGCGTATATGTATATGATTTGACGGGAATAGTATATATTTTTTCACTTAACTACAAAACAATTTATTCTAATGCATCGTTAATGGACATTTTATTAATGTTACTTTTTACATGTTCTTGTTTTATTCGTTTTTATATCTTGCCTTAAATTTGTATATTTGTAACAGATAAATTCAGAATAGATGTAGCTTCATAAATAGTCTATCGAATCTACCTTTTGGTCGGTGGCTTACAATTTGTAAGCCAAATTTTTTTGAATGCCTTACCGTAA